TTTTTTTTTTTTTTTTTTGGAAAGAGGGGATTTCATGGGTGATGGATGAAGAATGTCTATTCATGTATTTGATGTGTTTCAAAGATTAGGTTTGTTATGGGTTTCCTTGTAATTCTTGCTCTTGAATTGCTTTCATGTGTTTTAGGATTTTTTTTTTGAATTAACTGCTCGTTCATAGGCTTGGTTTTTCGTTACAGCCCTTCGCAGTTCTGCTGAAAGTGTTAAAAGGAAATTTTAGGTAGTCGGTTAGAAAATATGCTATGATTCAAAGGCTATTGACGATTTGTTCAAACCTCGGTTTTATGAACAATTCTCAAACATTCTTAATTGGTCTATTACACTTCAAGCTGTTGGACATTTTCCTTTTCTATATATTTATCACATGTGGATATTTTAGATTGCTAAAGTTCTGCTTCATTTAATTAAAGTTTACACTTTTGAGATACGAGTAATTTGGAGAAGTGCTTTTGGTATTTACGGAAGTAAGAAGAAGCTCGTTTTTTATATTCTCATGTCATTAATCCAAAAGGCTAATCAAAAATGTTGTTACACTTTTTCTGAACGCTCAAACTTTGATTTTATCAGTGTTCAGATTCTATTTGCAGGCGTATTACTTTCCAATTATCAACTACTTTTGCTGGTGCCATAATATTACTTGTTGTAAGGGCAGAGTTGCTTGCGGTCACCCCCTTGTTCTAACTTTAAAAAAAAAAAAATTGATGTTTTTATATTAGAGTTTGGGGCCACATTCATATGAATGTCACAGCTACTCATTTAATTAATTTACCTAATTTGGAAATCTCTTTTTAGGCCGTTTCTGAATCATTTTTTGGGTTAGTGTAGGAAATTACTTACTCACATTATGGTTACTAGTTGGCTATCTTTTCTAACATGAAGCTATGTTTGGCTTGGCTAAGCACTTCTCGCCTTTTCTTTAAGTTCGAACACGACATCTTAGATACCTACTTAAAATGAGAATATTGTTATAAAATGTTTTGATTTGGCTATATTTTGAAACATGAAGCTATTTTGGTTAGTTATGGCTTACAGGCTAAGCATTTCACCTTTTTCTTTAAATTCCGAATATGATATCCTGATAGTATACCTTAATGGAGAAATTGTGATACAAGGTTCTGCTTTAGTATAGTTAAATGCAATTTCAGAGTAATGATTTTTAATATCTTCTCTCCATGGCGCACATATATATGTATATGTATATATATACATTGTGGTATTGTGGAAAGCTCTTGTCTAGTCCGAAGAAATTATTGGATTATCAGTCCGAATAAAAAGAATTCCGATATTTTTTTCCTGATGCCTTTGGCTTTATTTATTATCGTGCAGGAAAAAAAAATAAAAGAAAAATGGGGAGGGATGTTACAGGCTTACGAATTGACAAAAGAGCAAGTGAAAAATCAAGTGATAGCACTCGTTCTGTAATTCGTGTTGCTCCCAAAGCCTCACCTGAAAAAACCGGGAATGCTGGACTTTCCGATGGCCACGATGAGGTGGCAGTGAAAAGCACCAATGGTGGGCCCGGGGAGAAGATCATTAATTCCGAGGCAATTCCTGCGGATCATGCTGATGGGTCCAAAGACGATGATTCTAATGTAAAAGTTTTGTCCAAATCTAGTGATTTGGATTCTCCCAAGTCGGGAAAGAAATCCCAAGTGAGTGCTTCTGTTCATATGTTGAGTTATTATCCTTTGTATTATGTTGTTCTCTTGTTTTCTGAGTTTTCATGCTTTATATTTGATATCAAATTCGACCGAGTCGTGCCTTAATGGATCGTGCTTAAAGACTAAATCCAGTGGGTTTTGCTCGGATATTTTGATAATTGATATATCCTACCTTTTCTTGAGGAATGATTACAAAAAAACCCTAATGAATTATTGGCTAATTATTGAAAACATGAAACCCCATTGCATTTTTGGATTTGTCTTCAATTTAGGGAATAATCGTAATGCACATATACAGTATACACGTACGTGGTTTTAATAGACGAATTTAGCTTATGCAAGGGTGATATGGCTAGCTGCCATGTGACTTCAGGGGTGAGCTTGTAATTTTTATAAGTCACTTAGGTTTTATCTTTTCTCTTATCTTTTTGTGGTTCTTAGTCCAAACCTTGTGGGGTTTTCCGTAATCATTCCTTACACTTTAAACTATTAGAAATATCGAGTAGGCTGTGATGTTTTTTCATGTCCTGCAAAATGCTAATATTTTTCTCAAGAAATCATGTTGGTACCTGTGGCCCGCTTAAATTGATGAGAAATTGACATAATTTAGCTAGCTCTTCAGAAAGTGGTATTCCTCAATGTTATTCTCATCTGACGATGAGCATATCATGAGCTCTTTCTGTTCCAAATGATTTTTTTTTTTTTAATTTTTTATTTTAATTTTATCAAAACAACAATTGACTTATTGAGATGGATGATAAATCACTTGTTTATGTCTAACTAGTGAGAGTGTAATGGCTGAGGTGAGGTTTGGGTATAAGTTCAAAGTCATGAATGTATAAAGACTAAAGAGTCATGAATGTATAAAGAAACTTTATTGCTTTTGTTGGAATTTTATTTTAAGTACTAATGTTCGGTGTCATTTTTTCCAGTCAAACCCACATTTCATGTCAAGGAAGCAGCTTTGTGACGAAGAAGATAATTGGTCATTGGCTTCTTCGTATCCTATATCTAACTTTGTTTTCCTCTTCTTCTTATTATTAATATTCTTATTAGTATTGTTATTACGATTAGTATTTATAGTTGGTCCTTAGCACTTGTAGTACTGCAACTTCTGTACGGACTAAAATTACAGTCCCAGTTGCTCCAAAGTTCACTTGCGTTGACCGATTGGAGAGACGTAAAGAGGTAATTAATTCTTCATGCAAAGTTAGAGTTAATTTTGTGTTCTTTTCAGTTTTTCTTCTTTATTTTTCTTCCTTTCCTGAACTCTTTCCTGTTTTGTGGTTGTTAGTTTTATACAAAGTTGGAAGAAAAGCACAAAGCCTTGGAGAAAGAAAAACTCGAATACGAAGCAAGAATCAAAGTATGCTGTTTTTTTTTTCCTCTTAAATTCTTCTTTTTACCCTCTGCAATTCTTGATTATTCGGTACATATATATGTGAATAACACGATATTCTTATTCTGTTTTTTCTCGTTCCGAAATTGCAGGAAGAAGAACAAGCAGCAATAAAGCAGCTGAGAAAGAGCATGGTGGTCAAAGCAAAGCCTGTTCCCAGCTTTTATCGTGAAGGGCCTCCACCAAAAGCAGAGCTTAAGAAGGTAATGGAAAACTTTTTTCTTCTAGATTTGGGAAGGCACATGAGATGAATTTATTTTATTTCTTGGGTGAGTTTGATAAATGACTATTTCATTGAAACCCATAGGTTTCATGAAAATTACAGAAATTACAGAAAAATAGGAACAAAAAAAGTGGTAACAATAATATCGAATATAAAGGATGCTTAAAGTGTTTATTCCGATGAAGGTGGCTGAAGTGTTGATGTAGGGAAGCGTACGAGTGGGAAGGATAAAACGAGTAAACGAGATACTCTCTCGTAAAACACGTAAAACTCAACAATATCTTATTTATTCAAAATCAACTTCCCTAATAACAAAGCACAAGTGCCCTTTAAATAAGACTCCTAAACTAAAACCTAACTTATTCTCCAAGCTAAATAATAATAATAATAATAATAATAATAATAATAATAATAATAATAATAATAATAATAATAATAATAATAATAAT